GTCCCCCCTTGTGGGCCTGGCCCCCCCTGGGCCCTCTTCGGGCAACCCCCGCCCCTCCCTGGCCTCGTGCCCCTGCAGTTGATCCAGCTCTCCCAGGGCCCCTGCTTGGGGGCACAGCGCTGTCGTCCCAGCTGACTGTGCCCAGCCTGGGCTGGAGGGGGCGGGCGGGCCCCACGTGGCCCCTCTGCTCCACGCGGGACCTGATCTGGGGGCCTCCTCCCTAGCTCGGGACCCAGGTGGTGGCCCTGCAGCTACCGGTCCAGCCGTCGGCGTTCATGGGTGGATGTCCCAACGCCGTCGTCCCAGCTGGCGGTGGGCCAGCTGCTGATGTTCCAGCTATGGGGGTATGCTGACGATCCGGCAGACGATGCCTAGGACGGCGGCATACAGCGGGGGACGCTAGAGGGCGCCACCGTCCAGCCGTCGGCGTCCACGTGTGGATGTCCCTACGCCGTCGTCCCTGCAGGTGGCGGGCCAGCTGCTGATGTTCCAGCTTTGGAGGCAAGCTGACGATCCAGCAGCTGACGCCTAGGGCGGCCGCGAGCTCCTCCCTACGTCAATGCTTCCTCCCTAAGGGCGCTGTCGGCTTCCGCTCTGCGCTGGAGGTGGGGACGTTCGTTTGTGCCTTCCCTGCGTCTGCCTCTGAAGGAAGTATCGTGTTTTCGTTGCCTGAGCAATCTGAGAGCAGCAGTACACCGAGAACTTCAACAAGATCTTGTAGATCTGAGGCAAAGTGAAATTGACACCAGTAATTCCATCTATCATCATACTATCATGCAAGAGGAGCCACACATCTATGGATCATCCAATAAAATCAGCAGACTTCTAGATGTTACTACTGCTCGGCTTAGACTCGGTTACAAGTATCTCTGGGAATTCTCATTATCTGCTGATGTAGACCTGACCAAATGTAAACTGTGTCAACAAAATTATTCGCACACCCTCCGTCACTATGTGATGGAGTGCGAAAAGATATGTGAATTTAGAGACAATTCTATAACCAATGTTCCAGCGATGTGTCAATATTTCATTCAAAATGATCTGCTACCAGAAATTTTAGCCAAATATCCCCAGTTTGCTAACTGTAGGTAGTAACTAAGTAATTGTAACCTATCCACCGCTGCCCACTGGATGGGGGGCGGTGTGCAGGACAAACATATAAATTTTGACACTAGCTCTCCACATATGTCAGTTGCTTAATTTAGAACCTGTACTTGAGGTCGATCTCGAACCCATTGTTGATGTGATGACTTATATTGAATTTTGTAACTAGCTCATCAAGATTGTAACTTGCTTAGCTAAATGAATTGTGGTGTTCAGTCCCTGAGCCCATTATGTGCCTCTGTAACCCTTAATTTCCACTACCGCCCACAAGATGGGTATGGGGTGCATAATAAATGAACTAAACCAAACGTTGCCTGGGGTCCGCTTTCGCTACCTCCTCTGGTGTTGGTGTCTTTTCTTTCCTCTTTACATATTTTTCTTTCCCTAATGCTGCGCTTTTTCATGTTTTTTTTTGTTTGTACTCCTACTCTTTTCGTTTGTTTATTTGCCTCCCCGCTTATTGCATTATTATTATATTATTAATTTTATTCTTTTTATTTATATCTTTTCTGTGTTACTGCCACCATTTATTCGTTCTCCGTTTTCCATATGTATTTTATTTTATGTTTAATTATGTCCTTATCCTTTTTTCTGTTACTTTTCTTTCGTTTGTTTATTTAGCATGTTTACTCGTTATTTTTTACTTTATTTCAGTTATATTTTGTACTTCTCCTGTTTGTCATGCTCACTTTTGTCGCTTATTACTACGTTTTGTATTTCCCTTGTTTATTGTAATTATATTTATTTATTATGTTTTTTTTCAGTTTGTACTGCCCCCTTTTATTCGTTTATTTTACCTCCCTGCTTTGTGCAAATTTTAATTTTACTTATGTCCTTATTCTGTGTTACTGCCTCCATTTATGCGTTTATTCCGTTTTATTATTTTTTATTTATTATTTTATTTTCTCTTATCTACTTTTCTGTTCCTGCCTCCTTTTTTCGCTTTTTCCGTTTATTCATTATTTATTTTGATTAGTTCTTATGTCCTGGCTTTTAATTTTAGCTTATTTATTGATTATATATTTTGGTTTATTTACTTAATTAAAGTTCATTTTGTTTTGCTTTTTAGTTTGTTAACTATTCAAGTTTGTTTATTAATTTATTTTAGTTTATTTCCGAGTTTATTTACTTATTTATTTTATTTACTCTTATTCTTTTATTTTCACTTTTTCTACTGTTTCTGGGTTATTGCCTACATTTTTTGCTGTCTCCATTTATTCATTATTTATTTTATTATTACATTTTCTTATGTCCTGGCATTTCATTTTAGTTTATTTACTAAATTTATTTTGGTTTATTTAATTAATTAAAGTTCATTTTGTTTGTTTATTCTTAGTTTATTAGTTATTTAAGTTTGTTAAATTTATTTTAGTTTATTTCCGAGTTTTTACTTATATTTATTTTATTTATCATTAATTATTCTATTTTCACTTATCTACTGCCTCTGTGTTAACGCCTCCATTTCCGCTTTCTCCGTTTATTCATTATTTATTTTTCTTAAGTTTTCTTATGTCCTGGCTTTTCATTTTAGTTTATTTACTAACTTTATGTTTTTGGTTTATTTAATTTATTAAAGTTCATTTGTTTTGTTTATTTTAAGTTTATTACTTATTTATAGTTTGTTAAATTTATTTTAGTTTATTTCCGAGTTTATTTACTTATATTCATTTTATTTACTCATTATTTATTTTATTTTCACTTATCTCCTGCCTCTGTGTTAATGCCTCCATTTCCACTCTCTCAGTTTATTCCTTATTTATTTTATGAAGTTACCTATGTCCTTCTTCAGTTTTACTGTTACACATTCTTCCGTTTGCTTATTTTAAGTTTTCGTTCTTTATTCACTTTTTTGCAGCTTTTACTTTTGTCCTTATCATGTTTGTCCTGCACTTTTGTACTCGCCTATTACTACGTTTTGTTCCACTTATTATGCCTTTATTCTGTTTGTCCCACTTCCCTTTATTAGCTTATTTTTCCTCCCTGCTTTATGTATTAATTTCGTTTATTTACTTATGTCCTTATTCTGTGATACTGCCTCCTTTTATTCGTTTTCTCCCTTTATTCCTTATTTATTTAATTACTTAGGTTTTACTTGTTTCCTTTTCTGCTTATACTGACTCACTTTCCTTCGTTTGTTTATACGTTTATTCGTTACTTATTTACTTTATTTCAGTTATTACTTTTGTCCTTGCTCTGTTTGTCCTGCTCACAGTTATACGCTTTCTCTAGCGTTAATGTTTCTAAACGTGCTTTCCCGGTTATTCTGTTCCTCTTTTCGTTTTTTATTTCCCGTTTTACTCGTTATTTACTTACTGTATTTCTTTTACTTTGCCCTTACTTCGGTTCGTCTGCTCCCACTTATGCATTTCTTTTATCATTGCGTTTCATATGTTATTTATTCCCTTACTTCTTATGTCCTTATCCAGTTTTACTCCTAACATTTATTTGTCTTTCTCCGTTTTCACTTTTAGTTATTACTTCTTTTTTTTTTTTTTTTTTTTTTTTTGCTTTACATGGTTATAAGTTTCTTGCTTACACGCTTAGCCTTGTTTCCTTTCCTGTTCTGCCCTGGCCGCCCGCTTATATTTTCCCCTCTCTGCAGATCGGGGATGCCGGCCCCCACGGTGAAGAAGAGGACAAGGGCGGCGTCAACAAGAGGACAGCGACCACGGGGCGCTAGGACGCAACCGCCCAGGTCAAGGGTGAAACCCGCTCGCTTTGCCTCCTCCTCGGAGGCCTCTTCGGGAGGCTCTGACTCGGACGGCGACCACATCCACGATGCACACCCAACTGGCATGGCCACAGGGGGGCGCGGCCGACCAACCCCCACAATTTTCGGCCGCCGACTGGGCAACGCTGCAGACGCTCATTGCTCAGGCTCGGAGCCCCCCCTCCGATTTGAGGCGACGGCAGACTTTGAACCCCGGCGGAGCGGGCGACATGGACGCCCCCACGAACCGGCCTACACGCACAGCCTCCCCCCCTGTGGGCCGCCCACGGGCAAGGGCGAGGAGCCACGCGACACGGCGACGACACAGCTCTTCCAGCACGTCATCCAACGGTGGGTACCGCCGAGAGAGCTCGTTCCCCCCTACCCCTAGTCCCTGGGTGGAACAGCCCTGGGGGACGCTAGGCAACACCGTCACCATGCTAGGCGAGCATGTCCCACTGGCCCTAAGAGAGAAAGTCTGGGCAAACAAGTACATCGACCTTTGCGAGCTGCTGGCTTATGAACGCGATGCCAGGCCCTCAGAGACACGCCACGCCACTCCCTCTGAGGCCCAGTTATCCACTAAGAACCTGCCTCCTCTGACGCCGGAGCAGTGGGGGCACGGCTTTGACATCTTTGCTTCCATCTACCTGGAGCAACATCCCGCTGAGGGGCGGGCGCTTTTCACTTATGTCCGCTACGTGAAGTCCATGAAGCGCAACCTCCGAGGCGACTGGATGTGGTACGACGAGGCCTTCAGGTGGGACAAGGAGAGGTCGGGCTGCCCTTGGACCGCACTAAGACTCAACCTGGAGATGCGGTCGGTACAACGTGCAGCGCAGGAGCGGATGCAGGTGGTGCCTCACGCCGTCGCCTCCCCAGCTGAACGTTCGCTCTCTACTGCACGGGCCTATGGACTACCACCGGGACACTGCTACGCTTTCCACGCATCCGGGGCAGGCTGCTCTGCCCCCTCCTGCACCTTCAAGCACTACTGCCTGCGCTGCCACAAGCGACACCCTGCCTACTGCCCGTGCCCCCAGGCCAAACCTCGAGTCGCCACCGCCAAGGAGAATTGTTCCCGTCCCCCCACCCAGGACAAGAGCAGGAAGAATGACACACGTCACAACGCCAGTGGACGCAGACGCACTTGATGCTCTCCTGGTGGGTTACCCCCTCCGGGACTATGTCGTCGGAGGCTTCCGGGGGGGGTTTCCTACTCGGTCACGAAGGGGCTCGGACTCCACTCTCCTCTCGTAACCCCCCAGCAACTACAGCCCTGCCACATATAGTGGGGCCTATGCTCAACAAGGAACTGAGCCTGGGGCGCATAGCGGGCCCCTTCGAGGTCCCCCCATTTGAGATCTTCAAGTGTTCTCCCATAGCCCTGAGAGAGAAGTCTACGCCGGGCAAATACAGGCTCCTGCACAACCTCAGCTACCCCTATACCTCCGAGAGCGTGAACGCCAACATCCCGCGGGAGACGACGACAGTGACCTACCAGTCCATCAACGATGCGGTGGCCTTGGTGGTCAGACGCTCGCCGGGGGCGTACTTGGCAAAATGCGACATAGCAGAGGCATTTTGGATCGTCCCGGTCAATCCCAGCGACTACCACCTACTCGGCTTCGCCTACGGGGGGCAGTACTACTACGAGAAAATGCTCAGCATGGGGGCGGCACCCTCCTGCAGGATCTTCGAGACGTTCTCCGACGCCCTGCAATGGATCCTCGCGGAGAAGTTCGGAGTGCGGGATGTCGTGAAGGTGCTGGACGACTTCCTCTTCGTGAGTTCTACCTACAACGCGTGCTTGCGGAGCCTACGGGTGTTCACTGCCCTCTGTGAGCACCTAGGCGTTCCCCTGGCCCCCCACAAGACTGAGGGCCCCCGCCCCTGCCTCACCTTCCTTGGACTTGAAATCGACGCCGAACGTATGGAGACAAGGCTGCCGGACGACAAGAGGACGAAGTACATGGCCGCAGTGGAGGATGCTCTACGGGCCGAGAGCCTTCCCCTGCGGGACCTGCAAGGGATTATCGGAAAGCTGCAATTCGCCACGTCAGTCATACCGGGGGGACGGGCCTTCCTCCGACGACTTCACCCGCTCACACTAGGTGTACAGCATCCCTCACGCCTCTGCCTGCTGGACGCGGAGGCGAAGCTCGACTTGCGAGCCTGGCACACTTTTCTCGGTGCATTCAATGGAATAACGGTTTTCCCACCAGACGGTGGATGGGGGAGCGCCACGGCCCTCACGATGTGTGCGGACGCCTCATCCAAGGGTTACGGACTCACACTCGGAGCGACCTGGTTCAGGGGTACCTGGCCTATGGACTGGAGCCGGCTCAACATTGCGCGCCTCGAACTTTACCCGTTTTACATGGGGATATCCATCTTTGCGACAGTGTTAGCAAACAAGAGGCTTGTGTGTAGGTCCGACAACGCCGCTGTGGTAAACGTGCAGCAATCTCTGTCCGCCAGGTGCCCCCTCCTCATGCAATTGGTCCGGCCACTGGCAATCCTCCTCCTCACCCATAATATTACGCTTCTTCAATCACACCTCCCGGGCAAGTTAAACGGGGTTTGTGACGCTCTTTCCCGGTCGCAGGTACTGCCGCCCTCATTCCTGCAAGACGCAGGACTCACTGAGAAGCCAACTGCAATCCCGCAGCACCTCCTGCCCTGCAACTTCACCCTGAATCTGTGAGGACGCGGCTCGACTCCCATTCCATTACCTAGATAAGTTACTTCTGCGGCCAGCGGGCACCTCGCCCTTCGGGGGGTGGGAGACCGGCTTCGCTGGCCTGCGGAGTGGGGGTCCTGCGCCGGATCCCCAAGTCTAGGGCTGCCCGCAGCTACTTCCATATGTCAAGTGCTCTTGTAGTGCAAGTTGGGGGTTGGCAGACTTTACATGTAAACTAGGCACTAGCATATCATTACCCCTGGAAATTCTTATCTATTCTTTTATATGCCCTCTGTGTATACAGAATATATTTTATACATACTGTACTGGCTGTGCCACTCAATTACCTCTGGCATTGTTTTTAATTATAGTATTAAGCTGATTGCGAGTACTGCAACTTTGCTTCGGATAGCCGGTACTAGGCACGGTTAATGTCCTAAGACTCATTCCCTTAGTTGCAGCTTGCAGTACTGGCATTCTACTCAGTCATGTTACACGACATCTTTTATTGTGGTACAGCAGTTGCTCATGCCCCCTGGAAATTCTTATCTATTCTTTTATATGCCCTCTGTGTATACAGAATATATTTTATACATACTGTACTGGCTGTGCCACTCAATTACCTCTGGCATTGTTTTTAATTATAGTATTAAGCTGATTGCGAGTACTGCAACATTGCTTCGGCTAGCCGGCACTAGGCACGGTTAATGTCCTTCCACTCATTCCCTTAGTCGCAGAATTTCACCGCTTTTGCTGAGAAAATCAGTGATTATTTCTGCGGTTGGAAGAAAATGCTCACTGAGTGGGGGACTTGTTTATTTTATAATAATAATAATAATTAATTATTTAAACAAATAATTAATTAATAATAGTCATAATTAATGATTTAACAATCACCTCCCTACAAGTAATCATTTAGAACTTCCCTTCCACATCTGGAAGTTCACTACCCTGATCTCTTCAGGTTCTTCCGCGTTTAACAGGATCCTCTGCAACACTTCTTGGCTGCTACACCATGAAGTCTTCCTTGAGCAACTATGGTGCTTCACTACTTCTACTAGGGTTCTCCACAGCTCTCCTGGCTGCTACACCATGAAGTTTCCTCGAGCAACTATGGTGCTTCACCACCTCTGCAGAAGCACGTGACACTCCTCTTCACTGCTTCTCCTCACAGCTCGAGGTCCTCTCCTCCACTACCTTGGAGTCTCATCAACTACTCCCTCTGTACTGGCTTTGAAGTTCTCAGCAACTTCTTCCCCAAAGACAAACCTGCAACCCATTGACACTCCAATAAAATGTTTCCCCTTAAACACATAAACAAAAATACCCACACAGTATGTTTGCCTCCAACATCTATCTGCTCTCTACATACTAGGAGAGTGGAAAGCCAAGTTTTCATGAATTAATTGTTTTTCGACTACCTAACCTTTAGAGGAGAAGTTGTCTCCTCTGAAGAGACAACTAACACAACACCTATACCCCCTATTAGACTATTTTACAGGAACTTCTTTTCCACAGCCCATAAAACGGAGGAAAGGGTCCTGAGAGATATTGTCAGTAGAAACGTTATCCCTACAGACAAAAATCAGAAAATGATATTGGTGACTCTCTATTATTCCCTCATCTATCCATATCTCAACTATGGTATTTCTGCTTGGGGCTCTACTACCCAAAATCACTTACGTCCTCTAATTACTCAACACAAAGCTGCTATTAGGGCAATATCCAACTCTGGCCCCAGACATTACTCGGTACCCCTACTCAAATCTCTGAATATGTTAGACATTAAGTCACTGCACATTCTCTCATGTGTATTATACATATATAAAACACTAAACTATAATGCCAATCCTGATCTCAAAAGCTTCATAGAAGGTTGTAACAGAACCCATGAGCACTACACCAGAAATAAATACAGTTTTGATATTCCTAGAGTACGACTTAATCAAACTAGAAATGCTCTAAAAATCAAGGGGCCCAGAATGTGGAATGACCTTCCCAACCATGTTAAAGACTGTACCTCTCTCAACCAGTTTAAGATAAAAACTAAACACTACCTAATTAATTCCCTGTAACCTACCTTACCCCTCTATTGTCAACCCATGTCTGTTATTTTTTTTTTTTAATGAACACTGTTTGTCAACCTATTGTATTTGTGCTGCTTTTCAGTCATGTTCCCCCTTTTTTTTTTATCTTTATTTGTATTTGTTCTCAACACATTTTATTCTTTATGCTCAATTAGTATTAAGTTCTAGATATTAATGTTCTTCCTGCCCGAAACGCATTGCGTAATAGTGGCTTTAGGCATTGTATGTACTAGCTCTGTCTATATATTGATCCATTAATGTAACATCACTTGTATGTATGTACCGTACCTGAATAAACATATTTATTTATTTATTTACTATAAAACCAGAAAAACGGCCAGCCTACTCATGAGAAACTCTCCAGACACAAAGCAGAACGCTTTAAAAGAGACCAACGTCGTCTATGCCTTCAAATGCCCTCTTGGGGACTGTAAACCTCAAAAAAAACAGTATATAGGAAAGACAACAACATCTCTTTCCAGGCGTTTAACAATGCATAAGCAACAGGGCTCCATTAAGGAACATATAATCTCTTCCCACAAACAAACCATCACCAGAGAAATCTTAGCAAACAACACAGAAATCATCGATAGATACAGCGATAGCAGGCGGCTTGACGTCTGCGAGGCACTACATATCAAGAAGTCATCACCAGCAATCAACAACCAATTAATGCACAACTATATTCTACCCACTTCAAGACTCCGCTCCAATATAGAAGCATCAAGAAATATGGACCAATAGGCTTTCTACAATTACTTCCATTCAATACCCATTGTTTCGTGTTCTGTCAAGTGTTTGAATTTAATACCCATTCAATACCCATTGTTTCATGTTCTGTCTTGTGTTGGAATTTAATACCCATTGAATACCCATTGTTGAAAGTTCGTTTTTCACCTCATCCACCTCACCCAAATGTAGATATAAACCTCGAAGATGTGTAAAGCTCTATTCAGTTTCAGTTGTGTGTTTGTAAACTAAAGTCTTTGAAAATGTAATAAGTTTTACGAAACGCGCTCAAGTGTCGCGTCAGACTAGAAATAAAAATGAATTTTGGAGAATTGATCTTTGAATTACAATCAACAGTGAAAAGAAAGATAAGAAAGATAGAGAAAATTCGTGTTAGAATTATTAATCTTACTTTTGCGGTCATATATAATAATATATATATATATATATATATATATATATATATATATATATATATATATATATATATATATATATATATATATATATATATATATATATATATATATATATATATAAACTGAAAACTCACACCCCAGAAGTGACTCGAACCCATACTCCCAGAAGCAACGCAACTGGTATGTACAAGACGCCTTAATCCACTTGACCATCACGACCGGACATAATGAGGTGATAGCCGAGGCTATTTGAACCACCCCACCGCCGGCACTCGGATAGTTATCTTGGGCATAGCATTTTACCAAATCACCTCATTCTTAGGGGCACACGTGAGGAACACAAATGCGAACAAGCCAGAATGGTCCCCTGGACAATATGCAACTGAAAACTCACACCCCAGAAGTGACTCGAACCCATACTCCCAGAAGCAACGCAACTGGTATGTACAAGACGCCTTAATCCACTTGACCATCACGACCGGACATAATGAGGTGATAGCCGAGGCTATTTGAACCACCCCACCGCCGGCACTCGGATAGTTATCTTGGGCATAGCATTTTACCAAATCACCTCATTCTTAGGGGCACACGTGAGGAACACAAATGCGAACAAGCCAGAGTGGTCCCCTGGACAATATGCAACTGAAAACTCACACCCCAGAAGTGACTCGAACCCATACTCCCAGAAGCAACGCAACTGGTATGTACAAGACGCCTTAATCCACTTGACCATCACGACCGGACATAATGAGCTTGTTCATTATGGCTTGTTCGCATAATTTTCTAAACACGAATTTTCTCAATCTTTCGTACATTACGCTTCACTGTTGGAGGTAAATCAAAAATCACTTCTCCAAAATTCATTTTTATTACTAGTCTGACACGGTCATATTTAATAATATATATATATACATATATATATATATATATATATATATATATATATATATATATATATATATATATATATATATATATATATATACATAAATATATATATATATATATATATATATATATATATATATATATATATATATATATATATATATATATATATATATATATATATGTCGTACCTAATAGCCAGAATGCACTTCTCAGCCAATTATGCAAGGCCCGATTTGCCTAATAAGCCAAGTTTTCCTGAATTAATATATTTTCTCTAATTTTTTTCTTATGACAAGATAAAGCTACCCATTTCATTATGTATGAGGTCAATTTTTTTATTGGAGTTAAAATTAACGTAGATATATGACCAAACCTAACCAACCCTACCTAACCTAACCTAACCTATCTTTATAGGTTAGGTTAAGTTAGGTAGCCGAAAAAGTTAGGTTAGGTTAGGTTAGGTAGGTTAGGTAGTCGAAAAACAATTAATTCATGAAAAGTTGGCTTATTAGGCAAATCGGGCCTTGCATAGTAGGCTGAGAAGTGCGTTCTGGCTACTAGGTACGACATATATATATATGTCGTACCTAATAGCCAGAACGCACTTCTCAGCCTACTATGCAAGGCCTGATTTGCCTAATAAGCCAAGTTTTCATGAATTAATGTTTTTTCGACTACCTAACCTACCTAACCTAACCTAACCTAACTTTTTCTGCTACCTAACCGAACCTAACCTATAAAGATAGGTTAGGTTAGGTTAGGTAGGGTTGGTTAGGTTTGGTTATATATCTACGTTAATTTTAACTAAAATAAAAAAAATTGACCTCATACATAATGAAATGGGTAGCTTTATCATTTCATAAGAAAAAAATTAGAGAAAATATATTATTTCAAGAAA